AGGGCTGTACAGACCATGGGAGATTCAGTCTGAATAAGGAAAGCCTTTGCTCTCTACCTAATGGGACAACGGTATAATTACAGATTGTGAATTTTAACAAGCAGTAAAAATGACCTTCTAAGACCCATTGTAACTTGGTAGAATAAAAGAGCTATCAATCCGTGAACCATTAATATTTCCTACGTAATTCATGACTGTGACTTCAAACATTTGAGTGTGAATCCTGTGGAATGTCATTCCAAGTCGGACACTGGTATAAAGGTACAGTAACTTGGGTTCACAGCAGACTGAAGGACAGGGTAACTATTTTGGTTTTCTTTGTTTTGATCTGGCTTTTGATTAGCTATCAAAACAAGCCCCAGATCACCAAAAACTAGTGACAGCTAGAGGAGACCTCTGATAGGTTTAAACTCAATAGTTAATTTTATCTCAAATTTGGTATTTTCGCCTACAAAGAACAGCTACAAAAAATGCATTTTGGGGGGTGCCTGGCTGGCTCACTTGGTAGAACATGGCAACCCTCGATCTCAGGGTTGTGGGTTCAAGCCCCACTGGCTGTAGGGCTTACTTAGACACACAAAGTCTTTTTCCTCAGGAAAAGACTCAGTTATGTATAAAAAATAGAGCACTTCCACTATTATATGTTGACATGTCTAAACATGTCTTACAATAAGAATTCATATTTAATATACATCAACAATTTTAAATAGTAAAATAGGGCTGACACTTTTATTTCCAACTTGAAAGTACAAGGCATGATAAATGCCAAGCAGGGGGAGTGCTTGGAGCCCGGCGAACGAGCCTGTGGAGCTCCTGGTAGAGTGGGCCTGGGGACCCGGGAGCGGAAGAATGCCGGGCCGGGCTTGTAGCTGCTGCTGAAAGCCAGTGCAGGCCGCCGGTGAGACGCCGAGCAGACAGGCAACAGACGTCGGCACACATGGGGATTCAAATCCAAGTCAGGATAACAGATTTCAAAGGACGCTCAACTGTGCCATATAGACAGAGAGAAGGGTCCCCTGTCACTTCCTGCCATAGGGGTGCCCCACTCTTAAGTGCGAAGACATGTGAGCCCAAAGATTTGTAACCTAGAGAGAGAACGCCTTTTGCATGGAAAGTGGGAGAACAAGATGCAGCATTATTTTCATCGTTGATAGTTTCTTGGTGATCAGTGTTATTAGATAGCACGTGGAGACGCTATGGGGTGGATCATGTCTGTCAAAGTGAAAAAGTAACACTAACTTTTTTTTAAAAATTGACCTAGATATATGTAGGCTCCAGATAATGATATCCTGGAATTCAATTTCACTGAGACCAATTATTTTACAAGGTAGAATAGCAACTTATTTTGGGGGGTGGGGAGTAACAGTATACAGGTATGATGATAAGGCCTCAATTGTTCATGACAACCCCGGCTACATGTTACAAAGCTCTTCTCAACAAAAGTGATTATTAAATGTACTACATACTTTTTTCCTGGTCTCAAATAATAAACAGAAAACAAAATACCATCAGGGCAAACATCTAGAATTTGGGTTCAAAAATAACTTGTTGCATACTTCTGTTTCTAGCTCTGACACCTTAGCTTGTAATGCTCTGCCACTAAAAAGAAGAAAGGCTGAATAAATGCATGCAACATCGATTTGAAGTCACTGAAGAGCTTCTAAGGCAACTAAGACCCAAGGAGCACAGATTCTGGGAGAAGGGACATGTAGGAAAGTGACCTAGGCTAGTTGTCTTCTCCGGTATTTACTAATTTTTACGTTGTGTCAGGTGAGAAACTAAAGGGGAAAAAACATGCAGGTGAAAAGTGCAGCAGAGGGGCCCCTGGGTGGCTCAGTCGGTTACCTGCCTGCCTTCGGCTCCCTGCTCACTCGGGAGCCTGCTTCTCCCTCTCCCTCTGCCTGCCCCTCCCCCTGCTTGTGCTCTCTCTCTGTCAAATAAATAAATAAAATCTTTAAGGGCGCCTGGGTGGCTCAGTCGTTAAGCGTCTGCCTTCGGCTCGGGTCATGATCCCAGGGTCCTGGGATCGAGTCCCACATCGGGCTCCCTGCTCAGCAAGAAGCCTGCTTCTCCCTCTCCCATTCCCCCTGCTTGTGTTCCCTCTCGCTGTCTCTCTCCCTCTGTCAAATAAATAAATAAAATCTTTAAAAAAAATAAATAAAAATAAAAATAAATAAATAAATAAATAAAATCTTTAAGAAAAGTACAGCAGAGCATTCATCAGCCTCACAACACTAGAAAAACAAAACGACCTAAGGACCTCAGGAAGCAGGCCTCTAAAAACACTTCAGGCTCTCATTGTGATCCCTAAAAGCCTACACCTAGAAGCTGAGGTGAGCTACAGGCAGAGCCAACTTTATAACATCTGAAGCCCAGCCATGAAAAAGATCAGTCTTGATTGGACTGAGGTGTCCCTGCTCTAGCTATTTGCCAGAAGATATGGTGAATCCTCTCTGGAAGAAGTAATTTCATCCACAGCATCTACTGTTTTTCATATACAATCCCCAGCATCTCATCAAAACTTATGAAGCATACCAGGAAATAGGACCAAAAGAGAAACAGACCCATGGGTGCCTGGGTGGCTCAGTTGGTTAAGCATCCAACTCTTGATTTCAGCTCAGGTCATGATCTCAAGGTCATGAGACTGAACCCTGCATCAGGCTCCATGCTCAGCAGAGAGTCTGCTTGTCCCTCTCCTTCTCTCTCAAATATTTTTTTTAAAAGACCAAATATTAAAGAGAAACATACCCACAAGGAATTAACACAATGGACTTTGACTGGACATGGACTTTGAAATAACCAAGATTTATATAACCAATAAAATATGAGAAAAGATTGAGTATTATCACCACAGAACTGGAATCTATAAAGAATCAAGTGGGAATTCTAGAACAGATATATAGAGAACTTGATATATGGGATTATTATAAACCAGACACAGGTAAAGAAAGATTAGTGAGGGTAGGTCAATAGGAACTATCCAGACTAAAGTATAAAAAAAACACATAAAACATATAATAGACATGGTGCAAAAGTCTAACATACATGTAACTGGAATCTGAAAATGGATGAGAAAGCAATATTCAACAAAATTATAGTTAAGAATTTTTCCAAAACTGATGAAAGGCATCAATAAAATAAGCACTTTGAGAGAAATGCTCAACATCAGGGAAATGCCAATTAAAGCCACAGTAAGATATCTCTTCACATCCACTAGAAAAGCTATAATCAAAGACACACAGACTATAAAGAACTTACCAAACTCAACACCCAAAGAATAAATAATCCAAGAAATGGGCAGAAGACATGAACAGACATTTTTCCAAAGACGACATCCAAATGGCCAACAGACACATGAAAAAGTGCTCAACATCGCTCAACATCAGGGAAATCCAAATCAAAACCTCAATGAGATATCACGTCACACCAGTCAGAATGGCTAAAATTAACAAGTCAGGAAATGACAGATGTTGGCGAGGATGTTGAGAAAGGGGAACCCTCCTACACTGTTGGTGGGAATGCAAGCTGGTGCAGCCACTCTGGAAAACAGTATGGAGGTTCCTCAAAAAGTTGAAAATAGAGCCACCATATGATCCAGCAATTGCACTACAGGGTATTTACCACAAAGATATAAATGTAGTGATCCGAAGGGGTATGTGCACCCCAATGTTTATAGCAGCAATGTCCACAACAGCCAAACTATGGAAAGAGCCAAGATGTCCATCAACAGATGAATGGATAAAGAAGATGTGGTATATATATACAATGGAATATTATGCAGCCTTAATCTCAGGAAACAAACAGGGTTGCTAGAGTGGTGGGGGGTGGGAGGGATGGGGTGGCTGGGTGATAGACACTGGGGAGGGTATGTGCTATGGTGAGCGCTGTGAAATGTGTAAGACTGATGAATCACAGACCTGTACCTCTGAAACAAATAATACATTATATGTATTAAAAAAAAAGAAAAAGATAGTAGGAAGGGAAAAATGAAGGGGGGGGAATCAGAGGGGGAGACGAACCATGAGAGACGATGGACTCTGAGAAACAAACTGAGGGTTCTAGAGGGGAGGGGGGTGGGGGGATGGGTTAGCCTGGTGATGGGTATTAAAGAGGGCACGTATTGAATGGAGCACTGGGTGTTATACGCAAACAATGAATCATGGAACACTACATCAAAAACTACATAATGATGTAATGTATGGTGATTAACATAATAAAATAAAATTTAAAAAAAAGACACACAGAAACACGTGCTGTTGAGTTTCTAGAGATGCTAGAACCCTCACACATTACTAGTAGGAATGTGAAGTGAAACAACCACTTTGAAAAATAGACAGTTTCTTAAGTTAAAAAATAAATTTACCATATGAACCTGCAATTCCACTTCTGAGTAAATATACAAGAGAAATGAAAACATGTCCACATAAAGACTTGTATGCAAATGCTCAGCAGCATTATTCATAATAGCCAAAAAGTAGAAACAATCCCAGCATCCATTACCTGGTAAATGAATAGACAAAATATGGCATATCCACAATGGAATTCTATTGTGATAAAGGAGTGAACTGATACACACTGCAGCATGATTGAACCTTTGGAACATATTGAATGGAAAAAGCCAGACATAAGAGACCACATATTATATGATTCCATATACATTAAATTTTCAGAAAAGGCAAATCTATAGAGATAGTGGACTACTGATTTCCTGGGACTAGCAGTGAGAATGGGAAGTGACGGCAAAAGGGCACAAGGGATCTTTTTGGGGTGAGAGAAATATTTTAAAATAGGATTGTGGTGATGGTTGTACATTTTTGAATGTACTAGAAACCACTGAAACATACAACTTAATTAGGTGAATTTTATGGTTAAGTAAACATCTTCAATAAAGCTGTTTTTTAAAAAGATGAAACAAAGACATTTTAAGATGGAATGTCTTAAAACCAAGAAGATTGTCTTTAAACCTACAGTAAACTTACGCAGAGTCATAAGGCACCTACCTGGGTGGCCCAGTCAGTTGAGCATCCAACTCTTGATCTTGGCTCAGGTCTTGATCTCAGGGCTGTGAGTTGAAGTCCCATGTTGCGTTCTACTCTGGGTGTGGAGCCTACTTAAAAAAAAAAAAAATTAGGCAGAATGAAAATGATCCCAGATGGAAACATGGAAATGAGAAAAGGAATAATGGTCAATGTGGGTAGATTTAAGTAAATATTACCATATAAAACAACAATTATAATTTTGCATAGGATTTAAAATGTCTGTAAAATTAAAATGCCTGACAATAATATAAAAGGTGGGAAAGAGACAAACAGTAAGTTATTCTGTGATACCAACATTATTTTAGAAGGAATGAAAGCAATGGATATGGGGCACCTGGGTGGCTCAGTTAAGTTACTGACTTGATTTCAGCTCAAGTCATGAGATCAAGCCCTGTGTTGGCTCCGCACTGGGTGTGAAGCCTGCCTAGGATTCTCTCTCTCTCCCTCTGACCCTCCACCCCTCCCTCTCCCTCTCAAAAAAAAGAAGAAAGAAAGAAAAAGGAAAAGAAAAAGAAGCAATGGATATTGCACTCTAATAAATCAAGAATGCATGTTGTTATTCGTAGGCTAACTACTAAAAGAATAGTGGAAAAACACAAGCCAAAAGGGAGGAGGGATGTAAATAATAAATATTAATTCAAAAGAAGGAGAGAAAAAGGAATACAGAATGAGTGCAATAAATAGAAAATGAACAGTATGATGGAAGATTTAAATCCAAATATATTCATAAGTATATTATATGTAAATGATCTAAGTAATTAAAAGGCAGGTTATTCAGGGCACCTGGGTGGCTCAGTCAGTTGGGTGTCTGCCTTTGGCTCAGGTCATGATCCTGGAGTCCCAGGATCAAGTCCTGCATCAGGCTCCCTGCTCAGCGGGGAGTCTGCTTCTCCCTCTGCCCTTCACCCTACTCTTTCTTGCTCTCTCTCAAATAAATAAAATCTTTAAAAAAAATAAAATAAAAAAATAAAAGATTATTCAAATCCATAAAAACCAAATAAAGCAATTATATGCTGCTTACAAGAGCCACACATAAACATAAGAATCCTAAAAGATTGAAAGTAAAAGAGTCGGGGAGGCTGGCAGAGTAGGAGGACTCTAAGCTTGCCTCATCTCATGATACAACTAGATAATACCCACATCAGCATAAATAACCTAAAAAACAACCCAAAAACTAGCAGAACAAACTCTACAACTGAAGGTAGAGAAGAGGCCACATTGAAGAAGGTAGAAAGGGTCAAGATATAGTTTGGGAACAAAATGACCCATGGCCATCCACACTGGAGAGCAAGCCAGGGTTGTGGAGAAGGGCAGGAAACAGACTCTCTCACTGGGAAGCTCACACAGGGAAGACAAATCCCCATAACATTTGGCTCTGAAAGCAAGAGTGGCTGTATCCTGTGAGTTCTTACAATCAGTGGGACTTAAAGCCTGGAATTTTAAAATTGGGGGGGCTCAGGTTGGAGGATGTTAGGAGTCTGAGTCCCCACCCTTAAACACCTGGCAGAGATACAGTGTAGAGGCAGCAATTTGAAAAATGCTGGGGGCAGATGGGAGAGAGAGTTATTTACTCATCTCAGAGTACATCCCAGCGAGACAGATTGCAGGGAGGCCCCGACCCCAGGAACAAAGGAGCTAGCATGTGCCACTTTCCTCTCCCACCCCCAGCATAAACACATGGCCACCTGCACCAGCCAGCTCTGACACTACCTAACTTCTTACCCCAAGCCCCGCCCCCCTGTGCTCTGGCACATCTGCCCCTCCTAGTCATGCCTGCCTCAGTCCCCGTGCTGTGCAACACCTCCCCCAGAGCACAGGCACAGAGCCCACCACCATCTCATCTCCTGACCCACACCTTTTGCAGGCCTTGGTTCTGGCAGCCGTGGGGTTTGTAACACTTCACAAGCAGACCAACACACCTTGTTAAACATCATACCCCATCCACTGAGGGACCAAACACTGCCCACAACAGGCAAAGTAAGCTACTGCAGACAACTGGACTGAAAGAAAAAGAGGCCGGGACTCAAGAGCAGGGCACACACAACACACATAAGAGCCACTCCATGGAGTGTCAGGCCCTGGGGAACAGAAGACATTGCATGGCAGGGCACTACAGGACCTCTTCATAAGCCCATTACCTTCAAAAGCAAAAGATGTAGCTGACTTTCCTAACACACAGAAGCAGAGAGTCAGACAAAATGAGGAGACGAAGGAATATGTCCCAAATGAAAAAAAAAAAAAAGGACCAAACCACAGCAAGAGGCCTAAGCAAAACAGATGTAAGTAATATGCCTGACAGAGAATTTAAAGTAATCATAAAGATACTCATTGGACTTGAGAAAAGAGTGGAGGACACCAGTGAAACCCTTAACAAAGAAAAAAAAAAAAAAGAACCAATCAGAGATAAAGATGATAACAAATGAAATTAAAAATACACTTTATGGGGCCCCTGGGTGCCTCAGTCAGTTAAGCTCTGCCTTTGGTTCAGGTCATAATTCTGGGGTCCTGGGATCAAGCCTCACATTGGGTTCCCTGCCCAGCAGGGAGTCTGCTTCTCCCTCTCCCTCTGCCCTCCTCCCTGCTCATGCTCTCTCACACACACACTCTCTCTCTTGCTATCTCTCAAATAAATAAATAAAATCTTTAAAAATATATACTTGATCGAGGGGCACCTGGGTGGCTCAGTTGGTTAAGCATCTGCTTTTGGCTCAGGTCATGATCCCAGGTTCCTGGGATCAAGAGAGTGAGAGTGCTTCTCACTCTCCCACTCCCCCTGCTTGTGTTCCCTCTCTCACTGTGTCTCTCTCTGCCAAATAAATAAAATCTTTAAAAAAATAAAATAAAATAAAAATATATACTTGATCAAATAAATAGCAAGCTAGAGGAAGCAGAGGAATTAATTAATGACCTGGAAGACAATACTGGAATGTAACCAAGTTGAGCAAATCAAAGAGAGAAAAAAATTATGCAAATTGAGAACAGTTTTAGGGTACTTGGTGACTACATAAAGTATAATAACATCCACATTACAGGGATTCCAGAAGAAAGAGAGAGAGAAAAGGGGGCAGAAAATTTATGTGAAGAAATAATAGCTGAAAACTTTCTTAACCTGGGGAAGGAAACAGATATTCAGATCCATGAAGCACAGAGATTATACCAAAAAATTAACCCAAGGAGGTCCATAACAAGACACATACTAATTAAAATGGCAAAAAGCAGCAGAAGACAGTTACATACAAGGGAAACCACATAAGGCCATCAGTGGATTTTTCAGCAGAAACTTTACAGGACAGAAGGGAATGGCATGATATATTCAGAGTGCTGAAAGGGAAAAATCTGCAGCCAAGAATACTCTATCCAGCAAGACTATCATTCACAACAGAAGGACAGACAGTTTCTCAAATGAAAACTAAATGCGTTCATGACCACCAGCCGTACGAGAAATATTAAAGGGGACTCTTTGAATGGAGAGGAAAGACCACCAAGTGAGAGTATGAAAAGTAAAAAAACCCACAAAATCAGTAAAAATAAGAATTTCTATAAAAATCAGCAAGAGATTCATAAAATAGAAGGATATAAAGTATGACACTATCTACCTAAAAAATATGGAAGGTGGGGGAGAAGAATAAAGAATGGGTAAACAGGGGCACCTGGGTGACTCAGACAGTTAAGCCTCTGACTCTTCAGCCCAGGTCTTGATCTCAGGGTTGTGAGTTCAAACCCTGTGTTGGGCTCCACGCTGGGTGTTGAGCCTACTTAAAAAAAAAAATAAAAAGAATGGGTTCAAACAACCATCAACTTCATATAGACTACTATATGCAGATGTTACATACAAACCTAATGGTAACCACAAATCAAAAAGCAATAACAGGTATGCAAAGAATAAAGAGAAAGAAATCCAAATATATCACTAAAGAAAGCCAACAAACTATGAAAGAGAGCAAAAGGAGCAAGAGAAGGATCAGAAAAAAATTACAAAACCACCAAAAACAAGTAACAAAATGGTAATAAATACATATCAATAATTACTTTGAGGGGCACCTGGTTAGCTCAGCTGGTAGAATATGCAATTCTTAATCTTGGGGTCATGAGTTCAAGCCTCACGTTGGGCATAGAGCTTACTTTAAAAAAAAATTAAATAAAATAGTTAAATAATTACCTTGATTGTAAATGTATAAACACTCCAATCAAAGGACGTAGGGTTACAGAATGGATAAAAACACAAGACCCAACTAGATGTTGCCTACAAAAGACTCATTTCAGACCTAAAGACACCTGCAGATTTAAAGTGAGGAGATAAAGGGGCACCTGGATGGCTCAGTCGTTAAGTGTCTGCCTTCGGCTCAGGTCGTGATCCCAGGGTACTGGGATTGAGCCCTGCATCGGGCTCCTTGGTCAGTGGGAAGCCTGCTTCTCCCTCTCCCACTCCCCCTGCTTATGTTCCCTCTCTCGCTGTCTTTCTGTCAAATAAATAAAATCTTTAAAAAAAAATAAAGTGAGGAGATGAAGAAACATTTATTATGCAAATAGATGTCAAAAGAAAGCCAGGTTAGCAATTCTTGTATCAGACAAAATAGATTTTAAAACAAAGACTGTAACAAGAAACAAAAGAAGGGCAGTATATAGTAATAAAAGGGACAACCCAACAAGAAGATATAACAATTGTAAATATTTACACACCCAACATGGGAGCACCCAAATATTTAAACAATTAATAACAAACAAAAAGGAACTAATCAATAGTAATACAATAATATTAGGCGATTTAACACATCAATGGACAATTCATCCAAACAGAAAATCAACAAAGAAACAGTAGCTTTGAATGACACACTGGATCAGATGAATTTAACAGATACATTCAGAACATTCCACTCTAACACAACAAAATACACATTCTTTTTGAATGCACATGCAACATTCTCCAGAACAGGTCACATATTATTAGGCCATTAAAATAAATTCCAATAAATTAAAAAAGATCAAAGTCATACCATGCATCTTTTCTACCACAACGCTATGAAACTAGAAATCAACTACAAGAAAAAGTCTGGAAAGAGCACAAATACAT